GAATTCTTTTTCACACCCCATTTTTTGCTATGTGACACCAACACTCTGAAAACCACAGTAAGTTAGCACAATATAACACAGTATATCAACATATATCAACAACATAACCACAAACAGAACATATGAAGCAAAAGTGGATACAGACTGAAAAAATAGCTGTGATGGGCAAAACACACCAGACCTGAAACATGAAAGGGGAAAGCATAACCGGACTCATGAGTTTTAATATATTTCCTTTAACATTTACCTGAGTCTCCCTGACCTATTTTCTCAAACACAGTAATAATGCTTAGCTTTTCTGAGTTCTATGACACATTTCTGCTTTAACAAAGATTTAAATCTACCTCTAGAATTGATTATATTTTTATGTCATAATGAGTTACATTTTCTTTTAACAGAGTATTTTGTTTTTAGTCTCTTAAATTAACATGACCAGAGTATGTGGTATTGTCATCCTTAATTTTAACAAAACCTTTAGGAAGTAACTGTTAGACAAAGAGATAATCAACCCTTAAATATGAATTATAGACAGGAGAAATAAAGTATAATCTCTTTCATCTAAATGAAACACATAAAATGCTAAGCCTGTAATTTGTCTCTAATCGTATCTGGGGACGCTTTAGACAATAGCAATTTCTTTGATGAGATCTAACATGTTAGATGCATTAGAGTATAGAAGCCAACCCCCACTATAAGAGTTCCTGGTGAAACGTGTTAACAAGAGTGACTGTAGAGGTTTTTTCTAACCAATATGAATCTAGCCTGGTCATCTTCAAACACTGCTCATGACTACCTATAGCTACATGCCCCTCTCTCTTTCCTTGTTTTTATGGTTGTTTGGTGTCCATTGCTTATAATATTTATTTTTTTTAATTTTAGAGCCTTATTTGCAATAGGTACAGTAGAAGTCAAATTAGGGCCACTTTATGGATTTATTCAAAGCCTTCTATTTATAGCAGAAACAGCCTAACATGTATCTAAAGGCAATACTTTTTTTCAAGCATAGGATAGAGCAGAGAATGGTCAAACAGTTGTCAAGTATTGTTGTTGCTGCCTGCATCCTGTATGGTATTTGCATTTAGTACATTTTTGCTGCAGGTGTATGAATGGTTGGCACCAGACTGGAGCTGGAGACTTGCAGTATATCTTTCCAAAGCTCCCACACATTCAATTTTATATCAAATTTCTGTGGATTTGTATTGCAGAAGAATACATTTTAGGTACAGAAGCCATCCTTAATTATTTAACATGCTTCTTTGTTTTTTTATGTTGGTTTCTACATTTCAGAGAGTGCTATAACCCCAGTTCTGGCCATTTGGGTTTTTTTTAATGGATTTTGCTGTACCACAACCTTCCTATAAAAATTTTTTTTTTTTATTTTGGGCCAAAGAATAAAAAAACTAGAAATTCATTATAACTTTAGCTCCAATGAAAAACATAAAGATGTATTTCATATTACTGTAGCTCTCCTATAAACTGCAGCAAATGCAGATCTACTTTCGAAGAAGAAAGCTTATAACTGACATAAGGCAAGCTCACAGAGTCATTGCTAGGTGCACTAGTCATGCTCCTATGATTTCTGCAAACATTGCCAGGCAAGCCCTTGTGCCTATCACAGCCCCTCCACGCTCCTTCTGCCTATTTTTGCTATTTTCACAGTATACAAACCATTATACCTTACAGTCCTGAGTCAAATTTAGAACATACAAAAAGTATTTTGGTCCACCATCTTGCAGCCTCCTGGGATACTTACATCATTATTCCTAGGAGGCAGCAGGATTGGCACACAAAGCAGCTGGGGGTGGTCCAAAGGGCAGGCTGGAGGGCAGATCTCGTGTGTTATAGAAGCTAGCTGCCTCCACCCGCAAGAGGCAGCCAGCTAAAATATACAGTATATGATTTTATATTTAAACAAAAAGTGACAAATTGGCATCGGGACAGGAAGTGAGGGGATTTCTTCCTAAAAGGGCCACAGCAGTAATAACGACAACCTAATAGAGGTTCTGACCATTCCTCACTCCACCCAAAACTAAAAAAAAAGTTTGTAGTATATATTTTTTAAGTACGTTCACCATCTTCCACATTAGATTTGGTTGCTCAGCCAGAAGCATTAAGCTGACCATATTTTTGTTCATACAGTGGGCTAAACAACAACAAAACAGATTCTTCCTTCCACACAAATGAGATGGATGGATCCATCCCACCCTCCCCTGCCAGAAAATTGTATTCTGACAGCGGGACCTGCCACTGCCAAAATATTTTTAACAGTGGCTGAAGCCAGTGATTGATAAAAATTTTCCCCATGTCCCTTCGACTGAAGTTGATCAAACAATCAACTTCTGTTAGGCAAGGACAGCCACATAGTGATCGTAACTCAGCCAGTCGCTGCTGAACTGGCCAAATTGTGATCACTGTATGGCCAGCTTAAGACCAAGTTTTTAACGTAATTCTTTCTCATCATGATCTGTAACTAAAAATCATCCAACTCCAACTCTTATCTAAGGCAGGTTGTCCATCATTAAAAACCCCCAAAAAATCTGCACTAATGAACCAATATTTGAAAAACTGTAAAACAGTGCTAGAACACAACAATAAATGAAAAGAAGGCTTCCAACATAAGTACCCACATACAGATGTTTCTTATTAATCTAAAACCCTACATTTAAAGCGCTCTGCTCAGTGTTCACAAAAAATATCTCTTTCAATAGAGAGAGAGAGATCATTTTACCCCTGTACAGATCATTAGTAGGACCTCATCTGGAATATACAGTTCAGTTTTAGCCACCAATTCACAAAAAGAACATTGGGGAACTGGAGAAAGTACAGAGAAGGGCAACCAAACTGATAAGAGGCATGGAGGAGCTCAACTATGAGGAAAGATTAGAGGAACTGAATTTATTCTCTCTTGAGAAGAGGAGATTAAGGGGGGGGGTATGATCAACATGGATAAATACATCAGTGGTTCATATAGTGAACTCGGTGTAGAGTTATTCACCCTGAGGTCATCACAGAGGACAAGGGGGCACTCTTTACGTCTAGAGGAAAAGAGATGTAATCTCCAAACATGGAAAGGTTTCTTCACAGTGAGAGCTGTGAAAATGTGGAATGGACTCCCTCAAGAGTTGGTTCTGGCCAGCTCAGTAGATTGCTTTAAAAAAGGCCTGGATTCTTTCTTAGATGCACAGAATATAACTGGATACTAACATCTATAGGTAAAGTTGATCCCGGGAATATCCAATTGCCTCTCGGGGGATCAAGAAGGAATTTTTTTTCCTTGCAGGAGCAAATTGGGTCATGCTTTGCTAGGTTTTTTGCCTTCCTCTGGATTAACTGTGGGTATAGGATTATAACTTTTTTTAATTAAATCAGTAATACATCACGTGGAACTAGTGTTATAATAAAGTCCCAAAAAATATTTTCATATTCTAAATAGTGAAATGATGAAAATTCCCCAAAAGTGCTTGTGACAAAAGCCAATCCAGCCATCGCCACCAGGAGAGATAGCCAAACTCCTTACCCTGTAATATGACCCCTATATCGCAAGAAGGTTAAAAGTGCTTTCTGTTATACCACTATGCCATGCTCCTTTCTGCTCTCCAGACCCACTCAAATGTCTTTCCTGTGAACTCATGGACAACTCACAGGACCCACATGGATGGTTTCCAGAGCATGCATCAGACACCACAGGACCGTAGGTGTTCAGCCACTCAAGCCACTACACCTCTTCCTGTATGGGCCATACAATTAAAAAAGAAGCACATAGTATAATACTGTTTAAAAGTTACTATTTATTCCTAGTATAGACTCTCTCAAATACCGATAATGCCACTTTATTTTATTGCAAGTATTAATTAATGTTTATTAACTTTGCACATGCACTTTTATTTAAGAGTGTGTCCAGTATATTTTAAAATTACACTTGGTATATGGTGGTGAGGGAAAACATAGATGTTAACAAATCCTATACATAATTATGATAAAAAAGTATGCAACTTTTAACGTATTAAAAAAAGAAAAGTCCAGCACTGCAAAGTCTTTTAAACAGTCATATATGGAATTGATATGATGGATGCAATCTTGTCCCAGTGATCAGTGACAGTTGCTGCTGTCTGGTATACACCCAGGCAAGGTTAACTTTTTAATAAACTGTTTATTAAACACTTACTGTTTATTAAAGTAAAATAATGGGTTGTTTTTGTTGTTTAAATTGTGTTGTTCTTCCTTAAAAATAATGACAACAATGAGTCTTTTGTAATATAGGAACAACATTTTATTCATAATAAGTAACACTAAAACCACAAAGTAAAATATGTCAGAATGGCAACAAAACAACTATTTTGCCAGACTTTCTAATGATTCTGCAAGCAATGCACTGTTTGACATAACTCTTGCACAAGCATTATCCTGTTTTAGTAAAAACAATAATACAAAAAAAAATATTTGAAATGGTTGCAAATTCAAAGCTAATATCTCTTTTCTGCAAACACATTTATATTAATCAATAAACACTGACGTAAATGAGTTTCCTGTACAATGTCTTAAAACCTATTAAATAAACATTCACTTACATATGATGCATCATTTTATAGTTAATTACATTAATAAATGTAATTCATAGAAAACATAATTTAAATTAAAGCATACATAGTTACCGAGCAAATAAAATGTAAGAGAAACAAAAACAAGTATTGTACATACTGAATGTCATTTTTACACTAGTAAAAAGAATTGAAAATGACCTCATGGAGATCATATGCCGTACTGTAAACTTGTCTGCAAATATATGTTTTATGTTTTGATACCATTAGTTGAGTTGGGAAAGTAGTGGATATTTATACTAGCGCATGGCTAAGTTTCATTCCAGTTCAACTTATGTCTGACTCAACCCTGTAGATACTTTTTTTGCATCTTTGTTTTACAGGAAATAAAATAACAGCTGGATTCCAGCCTATGAAATCTGGAAACACTGGATGAGAGACATCAAATCTGCCTTTATACCATCATTTAAAAAATCCATAGAGTATGGGATTTAGACAACAGGACACCATACCAAGCAAGTGACAGATGCAGTAAACTAATTTGAAATGTCGATTGGAAATTAGGTTGGCATTAAAATCAGTTACAAGGTGAAAAAGGTGAAGTGGCATCCAACTGACAGCAAAAGCCAAGATCAATACTGTCAGCCTGCAGAAAACACGCCTAGATCTTTTTTTTATTCTGGTTATGGATTTTGAGACAGAATTCATGTTGCTTAGTTCAGAGTTTTCTTCTGGCTTCATTTCAAAGCATATGGGCACTCCAGGCAAATAAACACTGGAAGGTAAAGTGTGAACACTGGAGGGCAAAGTATGACTTCTTTCTGTGGTTGATGTTTCTGGGATATCCCCAGTATTACTCTCTTGGTGTCTTCTCAGAATTGCTGGGACAACACTGGCTGATTTTTTGCTGTATCGCTTTCTGTGTTTGCGGACACAAGAGTAGCTCCACCTTCGACTGCTACAGATTTCCACAACAGACTTGTTAGCTTTAGGATGCTGAAGGGTAAGATTAATCATTTCATTTTCTTCAACTTTAACATCTCTGTTTGGTAACCTTGAACTTATGCTTCTGCAAACACTTGTATGACTTATCGTCAAACAGGACAGTGGCAATATGTACTGCACCAGCAATAACGATATGGTGAAAGCAATTCGGTATGAATCAGAGGGCCATGACTCAATGCACAGGTAACTATTCATCAAGGGCTCTAAGTTAAATGCTTCCCTCAAATTTATGATTTTATGAAAAACTGGCAAAGGAGAACATATGGTGAAGCCTAGAGTCCAGACAGTGGCAATCAAAAAGTACCCATGGTTGGCAGTTAAATTGGTGGATAGTGGATGTTTAATCATGTGGTATCTCACCAGGGCAATAGACATAAGCATTAGGGTGGAAATGAGAACAGAAACACATTGGAGAAAAGGCACAACATGACACATAACTTCTCCGAAGATCCATTGGTCGAGTAAGACACATGTCAATGTAAAGGGAGAACAAAAGAGTACGACGAGAATATCGGAAAAGGCCAGATTTCCAATGAGGTAGTTGATTATTGTCTTCTGTTTGCGCTTTCTGAAAATAGCTAAGAGAATTAGGAGATTGCCCATAAATCCAAGCAGGCTTACAAAGGTGTACAGCCCAATTAGAAAGTATCGTATGTCATCCACACTACTGTTATAATCCTCCCATGCAGGAAAATTGGTGGTTGTTGTATCCAATGTGCTGTTCTCTTCTTTTGTAGCTGTTCTGTTATTAAAGTCTTTCACGTTAAAATCCATTTCACAGCTCTGCTTTGAGATACAAAGAAAAGCAATTAGTAAACCCATGTAAAAGTAGCAACATTCTCAAAGCTACAGTATTGATTAGTGGCTGATGTCAAAATAACAATATATTTTTTGCTTAACATAAAAAGTACACACTTGTATGCACACACATATACTATATTCATTTTACAGTATCATTGACATTTTCCATTAAAAAACAGAAAAGTATTGTGTTTCTTTTTTTTGTGATGGAAAAAAAGTACAATTAAATAGTGACAAGAAAACTATTATGCAATTGCAAATAAGAGAAACCCAGGTTTAAAAGTCAGAATTCTCTGCATTATTCATAAGAAATGGATCAATACTGATACATTATGACTTTGTTAAAAATGGTGAGCTTGACTACTTACTGCAAATTATCCTGATTAGCGTTTTACAGGAAGAAGAGAGCCAGAACAGGACCTTAAATAAAGATTGCCCATTTGATTACTGTTAACACTTTATGAATAAATACAGTAAAAGTTGTTATTATGTGTGTGGGGGGTGCCTAAGCCAGGAGTGAACAAACCACATACCCTGAGATGCACATATATTTCTGAGCCGCCCCCCTACATTATATACTGGATATCAGGTGTGTGGAAAAACCAAGTGTCCTACAACATAAGGCACCAGTGCTTTGAGAGGCATGGCTAGCTGGACTTCAGTCATAGGGAAATGTGCCTGCAAATTCTGTGTACTGCATTACTAATTATACCCAATAATTAGTTCAAATTCATTATTAACTTTCATGGCATTAGGACATTAATTTTTTAAAGCTGGGTTGTGTAATTGTTTTGATCTCTGATACCCAGGGGCGGACTGACAACTCATGGGGCCCCCGGGCAATAGGGGATCATGGGGCCCCTGTGTACTTGCCCAAATTCAAAAAAGCCTATGAAAAAGGTACCAGGGGCATCTCATGGGTCCCACTACTGACCCCGGGCCCTCAGGCAGTGCCCGAGTTTCCAAATGATCAGTCCACCCCTGCTGATACCACATATATATGTTGGCAACCATGTTGTACTTAGGCAGTCATTTTTAGTGAGGGGAGATCTCTCAAGTGATTCTTCATTTTAGGGTTATATTCCCTTTTAAATGTTTGGCTTAAAGGGTAACTCCACTTTCATGGGAAAAAAATAGCAAATAAAAAAAATAGCATATACAATTGCAAATTCTGCATATACAATTGCAATCTGCATCGCTGTCATTTTTTGGAAAATGCAATGCAATATGTTTACCTGGAGGTGTTCTGTACACAGATGGTGTACAGAACACCCCCTGAAAATGTAATTTCCTGCTTGAGTAATTGGCTTACTGATTTTGCCAGAAGTCTACACTAATATACAAGTCAGATTTTTGGCATCCCCTGCAACAAAAATGTCATTTTTGGTGAGATACTCCCAAAGAGAAATCACATTTAAAGGGATACAGTCCTTGTCAATTTCCTCACTAGAGCCCTGCAGATGCAGCAGCTGACTGACAATTATAAAACTACTCCCCATATAGATTCACTCTGAACATGGACACAGACAAACAGCTACTTCAAAAAAAAAAAAAAGATAGGAATCTGCAACAAAGTTGTTAAAATCCTTACTGTGTACATAGATCAACCAGAGAGGAATGATTTTTTTTCACAAAAAAAGGGGAGTTACTCTTTACGCCCTTTAATTTACGAACCCTGAAAGTTGCAAGCTTGTTTTCATTTCTTTCCAATACCATGCCAAATGTAATTTATTTTTTGTTCTGATTAAATACACGTTATCCTTGTGTGACAACATTCATCTTGGTTCACAATGACACTAAGAACCTAAGTAATCTTGAAAATTATCTTACATTTGCACAGTAACTCACAGTAACTAAGCAACATTTTAAAAGCTACATTGACCTTTTCAGGCAGAATTGCACTTCTCATAATAAATAGAAGCCTTTTAGAATGTTTTTTTCTTTCCAAGCCATCCCAATGTGCTTACTGTTCACTTACCTAGTCAATGGCAGCTTTGAATCTGTACCTTTCTGTTCAAAATTTAAAAAAATGCATTCTGAGACCTGACTTTCTGTAGCAATGTTTAGTTTAGTGGGAGATCATTATTTTTCAGTGCATTTATCCAGCAACGTGCATAGGGGAGCACATTGATTTCAATGGGCTGCCCTACGCATGACAAATGCAACAAATTTGCTCATAGGGCATTTTGGTGTGTTGTGATTTGCATATTTTTTACCGCATGTTTTGTTGTGTTTTTTTTGCATGATTTTACATGCAGCAAAATGTGTGATTTCGGTTGGGGGTGGTGTTACAAATAAAGGCACCAAAAGTGAGACTAGTTTATTTTAGCTGTGTAATGGTGGCCATACACCATACAATCTGATTGTACAATTGCTGTACCATCTCCTTTAGATTTACCAAAAAAGATGACCATAAATATAAGGCTAATCCTTACAGCGCTACCACATGATAAATCTGTGTTCATAAATAAATAGCTATCCTCCAAAAAGTGTTTATAAATGTGAAATGTCTCCATACCACTTATTTGGAAGGTACAAAGTAATATGTAACTGAAACACAGTGTCCATTTGATTAAGTGCACAACCCTCCATACGAGCAGACTTCAAGCAAACGTCTTATTCACAACTGTGAGCAAAATCCAATCTGATGCAACCCACCACCTACTTATGAAGTCAAACTTATCAGCTCCAAATGGCCTAGATTAAATTAATTGGGCTATAACAGCACAGGAATACACAAAAAATGGATTGATAAATGGATCTCAGCCACAACATTTCTGTAGCAAGTAAGGTTTGAACCTAGTCTGAGAGATTAGAGTCAGTTAACAAACAGTGCTTTAATTCTGAGTGCTAGAATTTTAAGTAATCAAAGCCTTTGCTGATTTTTTTTTTCATTTTATTTTACAGTTGATTTGAAGTCAGTGGTTACTTTTAGTCACTTTCATTTGTTGCTGCAAGGCAAGATGAAAAAAAGTAGTGCTGCTCAAACTACCTGAAAAAGACTTTTTTCAGACTGAAATGAATCAGATTGGTGTGCTGCTGCGTATGTAAGTCTAATTGTAGGGCTAAATTGTAAAGAAAAAAATCTGTTCCCCAGCAAAATATGTGCTGCCAATGTATGCTGTTGTTGCAACTGTCCATGAATATTGTGCAGCACCATAACACCATGTAGAGCTTTAGGGCTATTTAAATGCTATTTAAATGATTTGTGTATTTATGATTTGTGTATTTATCATGTTGCCCTAAGGCTCCATTCACATTTGTAAAAGCTGTACGACTTTGGAATGCAACTTTGATGCAACTTTTTACGCAACTTTGGATGGGTGTAACTTGGATATGACTTTGGCTTTCATTAATGATAATGGCCAACTGTTGCACAACTGTTGCATGTATAACATAACATAAAGTTGCATGAAATGGTTGTCATTGAAGAACATGGGGCATGACTTGTCATTCAACTTTAGTGTCCAAAGTCATATGACAAGTTTAGATAAATAAGTGGGGCCTGGATACGGGGCTTCTGTTCCTCCAGATATGTTGGATTCTCCCTCTGATGAAGTGCTATTTGCACGAAAGGCCTCAGGAGGAACTAGACAGTACAGCACACTTCTGCCGCCTGGTGCTGGATTGAAGCCCGGGCGGCTATTTTAAATTAAGGGCACCTTTTTTATGGCTCCTATTTGGAGCTCTTAAGCCCACGGGTACCTGTCAGTATCCAACATATCTGGAGGAACATGAGCACCGTATCCAGGCTGATTACCTCATTTAGCCTAAAGAAGGAACTCCTGGATTCAACACCGTTCTCCAAGGGCTTGATGACTGCACCATAGGATAAAGTTCACTGGATTGGCCAATCTACTCTGGAAATTTATATATGTATGCGCATTATCTATGCGCTTCCGGTGAGTGCGCATTTTTCACTTTTGGTTAGAGTCACAAGTTCATCTGCTATATTTCTTCTTCATACAGACTCTATATCCGTTTATGCATTCACATGCGTTTATATATGTGGACATATTGTTTTTATTTGTTTTGAGCGCTACACCCCACTTATTTATCTATACTTTTACAGAGTTTTTATTGGTACCTCTTGGTGTTTTAGCAGCTACTTTTAGGAGCGCTCACTTCTATTTACTTTTAATTCATATGACAAGTTGCACAACCGTGAGTGGAGTCTCAAAGCTGCATGAAAAGACTCACTCCCTGCTGTACAGTGATTTCGGTTTTTTTAAATCAGGATTCACCTCCCAACCCTTTTTACCACAGACTTTAGTGGGATTCTTCTCCAAGTTCAGGTTTGCCTTGGCCAATTGAACCCAGAAAGATACTTCCATCTACACATTACCATCAACCCTCTGATATTCTACTTACCTACCTAATACTAACATTGGCCTGTTTGTATGGTTGTAGCCACATTTTCAGACTGGATAGTCTGGTGCATAAGAATGGGGCACTTCAGCACAAATAAAAGGTATAAAGTCTACACAAAAGTTTGCTACTAAAAGTAAAGAATTCTGCAGAAGAAATTCAGTCTTGACAGTAGGCAGAACTCAGGGGCGGACTGACCATTTGTAAACTCAGGCACTGCCCTAGGGCCCGGGGTCAGTAGGGGGCTCCATGAGATGCCCCTGGTACCTTTTTCATAGGCTTTTTTGAGTTTGTTGTCAGTCCGCCCCTGGTGAACTTTGCATTATCTGAACACTTGGACACTCTTCAAAAGAAATATTGTTGGGACAGGAATAAAGGAATTATTTAGTTATAGGAATGAGTTAGAGCTTGTGGATGGGCTGCTGGTTAAGGCT